GACTATCTCATCATCTTCCTCTTCTTCCTCTTCGTCTTCCTCTTCTTCTTGGTCGTCTTCCTCTTCTTCTTCTTGTTCGTCTTCCTCTTCTTCTTCTTGTTCGTCTTCCCCCTCGGGCTCCTCCTCGGGATCCTCCTCGGGCTCATCATCGATCCATCCCGCGTTTCCCTGATTGGGAAAATATGGGTCCCCGGGTATATGAAATCCTACCATGTTGTCTGCACGAGAAACGGGGGTTAAGAAGCACATATCGGAAAATAATAACCTGGCGCTATAGAAACATACAAATACTCCTATAGTATTTTTAAATGTTTATATTTGGTTCTTAGCGTGTTCTTTATGGAGTGTAGTTAGGTTATCAGATTTGTCGCTCATTACGACTATTCCTTAATGTGCGTAAGTTACTTCTCGAATGGATATAGTTGATCAGGCTATATCCTTCCCAGAACTGATTACACATGCTAAGGCGTACTAATAATGTTCGACTCCTCATCTTTCAATTTATGTTCTCCTAAGTTATGACACCATGCGAGTATAGAAAGCATGTAAGTATACTTTAAAACAAGAATTTATTTGTTTTCTAAAAGTACAACTCGTTAAAGCATTTTAAGAATCAGAGACTTTTAGTCCCAAATGTGTTTATAGTTTGTATATCTTATGTGGTTTGACATACTTAATTCACTATAAACCGCGCTCTGATACCAATCTGTCACACCCCCAAACCAAGGATGGCGGAAACGTCCGGGGGTGGAGGACTTCATGTATAGTATCATAACCACAATTTCAATAGTAATTTAAGCAAACACAACCAACATATATATAATTGAAAAAGTTACATCACTTGTATGAATTACATGTTTCAAAATCAATTATAATATGTTGACAAAATATGAAAAGTTTGACGCCTTAACGTCCCATCCTCAAAAGCACTTGATTGCCTGTTTAGTGATTTCCTGAGAATACAAGTTGTTTGAAAAGTGTCAACACAAAGGTTGGTGAGTTCATAAGCTTTTATTATAAAACTTAGTAGAAGTCTTTCACATGTAAATGTCGCGTTTGTTTCAGAAAAATCCGATATTTTCCTTAAAATCCGTATAATGTAGCCTTATAACCAAAGACCAAAATGTATATGAAATCATCCTTACTTAGTAGAAATGTCGTGAGTTTGAAATGATATGGAAAGTAAATTTTAAATCAACCTAAAACCTACTTAGGTTTTATGAAATCCCGTAAACTTTATGAATTGTTATCTCCCTAGGTGAGTCGCTATAATCATACTGTGACTATGTGAACCTGCCACAACGTTTCTCAAGCATCGCGAAAATGAAATGACATTTGTCACCCGTAGACCTGCAGGTCCCACTGTAGCTAGCAGCAAGGTGTGGGGTGTCAAACCCAATATAGATCTATATACAAGTATCACGTTCTCCCTCAAGGAGATTCTGATTATAACTACCAGGAATTATATCCCGCACTCGGACGTACGGGGAGAGAGAGAGTCTCACAATATAGGTTAACAAGTTTACGTGAAATGTGTGTGAATATAAATCTTTCTTGTATGAATGTACCCTTTTTGTACGAGCGTGTTGAGTGATGTATCATAAACTATATCTATTATAGTTTATCTAAAATGTATGTAATATGTATAAACTCTTTTATGAAAATGTATTAGTGTTATGAATTTATCAAACTATACCTTTATAGTTTAATATACGTGTTCTAAATTGAATGATTAATATTTATTATGAATTACTTAGTTTCAGTTCATGATGACAAACTAACAAGGAAACACATTCAATAATTAGAACTTATGATTATACACTTTGCTCAACATAATACAAAGTGTTATGATATTTACATGTTGTTGGCTAACTTTAGCCATTCTGTCCTGTTTTGGAAAAATCATAGAAAAATCATATGAAGTCAAAAACTAGATCCGTAAATTCTGAGAGTTCACAAAATGTGTCTAGTTTACTCATAATTTTTATCACGATTTTTAACGACCTCCAACTTGGGTGAATAAGTCCAAAATCACAGACTGGTCCGGATTGTTGTTTGAAATGATAGTCAGTTTTGTAAAAATCACCATAAATTGTAGAAAATCGTATGGAGATGTGCAAGTAGTCATTTTAAAGCTAAAAACTTGAACTATTTGCACCTTGTACAGTTTTGAAAACAAAAATGCTTAAGATGCCCAAAACAGTCCGTGAATTGAGTTGAACTTTTCTGATGAAGGCTGTTAGAAAGTTTTAGTTATGTTCTTGGTGTTTTAACTTGTATTCCCCCCTTAAAAACTTGAGAAAACATGAAAATGTAGGGGTATGAACTCACCTTAAGTGATTTCAGTAGATGATTGTTGAGGAATGGAAGTGTTTAATTCAAGAACACTTGGAGATGCCTTGAAGATTTTCGAGAATCTAACATTATAGTTATGGAGTTTATGTAAGCAATCAATGATTTGATTTGAGTAGATTTTCAAGAGGGGCAGAGACCGAGGCTCGGTCTCGCATGCCTCAGCCAACAGAAGCTCGGTTCTGGTCCTGAGAGGCCTCTCTTCTTGGTTTCGGTTCCTAAAGCCTATTTTTCTCGTTTTCGCCCCGTTTTAAGCCGTTTTTGACCCGGTTAAGGGTCGGAATGACCCGAATGATTCTAAAAAGTTACAGGAACTTTTGAGAGAGATTTGGGAGAGATTTCACATACTTGGAGAGATTTGGGAGAGATTTGACATTCTTGGAGAGATTTCTCATACAGAGAGATATTTGAGAGAGATTTCACATACTTGGAGAGATTTGGGAGAGATTTGACATTCTTGGAGAGATTTCTCATATAGAGAGATATTTGAGAGAGATTTCACATACTTGGAGAGATTTGGGAGAGATTTGTCATAGAGAGAGATAGAGTGAAGACGATTGAGAGAGGTTTCAAGTGTGGCATTTGTGAGTGTCCGGCTTCGCAAAGTAAGGTCCGCAAACACTGTTAAGCCTTGTTTAAGGATCTTACACATTCCCGATGAGTATGCAACATGGTTTTTATCAGTTTAGTTCATCGATTTGCTCTAAGGCTCAGGAAATTTTAACACAAGATTTTTCCCAAGTGAAGTTTTCCCATTAATATAGCAAGTTATACAGTATGAACATAAGACAAACCCTAATACACAAGGTTTAATCGAGTTGACCGGTTTGACTTGATGACTCGACTTGACTCAATATTGACGATTGTCACACATCTCCACCCCCCCCCCCCCAATGGTTGTCTTTGTTAACTAATGTCTATTGTCAATGAATCCCCGAAGCAGTAAAGTCAACTTGTTACTTACAGTGATCCATCAGGAAAATTTTCATAATATCACTGTTATAGGATCAATGTGTGAGGTTAAACGAGATGGGTAACTAAGAGTAAAATGTATTATAGATATTTATGTTGTGTTGTTGGATAAGAGTTAGTTTTGTAAGTTTATTGATTATGGATTATTATCCTAATAACATGGTAGGATTGAAAACCATATGTATCTCACCAGGTTTCTCAACCTGGCTCACTCAATTTATATGCATCACAGGTGGTGGTGGTAAGACTGCTAGAGACTGGAATAGAATGCTAAGTGATTAAAGAGAAGACATGCAATAGTGTTCAGGGTCGTTAGGTATTTACGTTGTAACTATGTTGTGTATTGGTTATGACATCCTTAGAGTTTTATTATTTTGAAACAAACATTTGTACTCAAAAATGTTTTAATATGCTGCGATTTTCCGTAAACAATTATGTTATGGTTTTCAAGCGTAAAGAGAAAGTTTTTTCAGTTCTGAAAAATAGAGGATGTCACACCAACCCAATAGTCGAACCCATAGATGATATTGTTCGCTCTTAGAGGAAATAAACAATTTTGGTTCATCTAGTGTGGTTGGTTGCGAAATTCAAAAGTTCGGTTTTTATGGTTGTGAAATCCATTAAACTTGATCTCTTATCGCCTATAATACCCTTATTTTGTTTTCATATTTTTTTAACGACCATTTTTGTAAAACAATTAAAATTTTGAATAAAGCCTAGCCTTATAGATCGATCACCGAACGCCCTCACTCTATTGGTTTCTTCCATTTCGGCCTCCATTACGTTAGCAGCCATCATTTTCTCCCCGTCGACGGCTCCAATAATAGTTCTCGGCCCCACCCCTCTTCATCGCATCCATCCTCACTGCCATCACTACGCCTCTTTTGCTCCTTTTCATAACATTCCTCCTTATTCTTACCGTCTCAACCACACTATCGTTGCCCCCCCCCCCCCCTTCCTTCTCTCTCTCTCTCTCTCTCTCCAAGGTCACCCACCCCCTTTTCAGTGTCGATTTCGTTCTCCTCCCACCACTACAAACCTTCCAACTCCTTTCCTCCTCCCACCACCAATAATAAACTCATTGTTCGCCCCAACACCTTCACCTCCATTATTGGACGTTAACCTTGTATCCATCACCAGCCACCACTTTTTTGTTTCTAGAACGCAAGGTTTCCAAGGTTTGGTCCCATCAAATGTTAGTTTCATTGAGTTTTCCATGCTTAGGATTTTGGTTTTCCATTTTAAAGACGACTTTTCCTATTTTGGAATCAAATTTTCAAATTAAAACTAGTTGGTAATTAAGGGTTAAAATGAAGTTGTAGGGTTTTAGTTTGCAGGTTTGGTTCATTTTAGGGTTAGGTTAGGTTAATGTAATTGGCGTTCATAAGCGGTGGTTTCTAAATTTGGTTCATCGAGTATTTAAATCTTTCTTAATTTTAAAAATGTTGGTTCATTGAATTTCTGGTTCTAACTTCATTGTGTTTCTTATGTTGCAGGTGTTGGTGGTAGGTGATATACAACAATGGTGATGGTAGCATATGGTGATGGTTAGATGATGGCGGCATGAGAAATTAAAAAAAAAATACTAAAATTAAATAAATAGCTAAATGACAAAACACATGAGATAACACTAATCTCCTAACAATGTTACGTGCTCGGAAGTACTCTTCACAAAGTCATCCATTGTCCACCTTGGTGCGAACCACAAACATGAACACCAGTTCGGGCTTGCTTATGTTGTTGGTCGTTGTCGTGGTTGAATGTGGTATGGAACACGAACCACAACGACCAATAAGCTTTCTTCTACCCTCTTTCTCCCCCTCTGCTTTACCGTTCGTCATATGTACACCAAAACTAGTCCGTGATCGTGAGGTGGAAGGAAACTGTATACACACCACGAACTCTTTTGTTGTTTGTATATCGGAAAGCCTTTAAGGAAAAATACCAAGCATGGATTTTGAATCAATAAAAAACCAACCACATAAAATTTTCAAATCTTGAACCAACACTACATACGAGTGCCAACCACAAATCCACAAGGACCAAAACTGCACTTTACTCTTTTTTTTTAAGGAACGAGGGAGTCATTCCCTCCCAACCCATTAAACCCACTATCACATGAGTTTTTGTTTCTTTTTTTCTTCATCCTTCCTAACCCACAACACACAGAAATTCTATTTTTCTCAACCCACTCAATTAAAAAAAATACAAAACAACTAAGGTACAAGTCTTAAAACACATGGCACCAAAGAAAATAAGAGAGAAAAAGTAAAGAAAAATAATAAAGTGGGTTAACGAAACCAATTAAACAATCTACTACCTGCTGAAGAATGGTATCTTAAAGGTACCGACGGTAACTCTATTGCTAATTAAGATTTTATTTTAATTTTTTTGTATTTTTTTTAATTGAATGGATCAAAAAGATATGATTTACATATGTTGTGAGCTGAAAAAAATAAATAAATCATCAACATGAGGAGAAACATATTATTTTGTTGTAAGCTGATTTACTTCAGCAATATATAAACGTATCATTATTTGTCCAACAATTACATCAACACATACATCCAAATTTCTTTTAACATCTTTTTTATTACAATTTTTTTTTTTTAAACGGCAGCATTAACCATTAAAACCAACAGAAGCTAGAAAAAGTAATTAAGAGATTACAATAAAAACTAGTCACGTCTAGATAATTAAGGAAATGTATTCACCCTTTCATCGCATCTTAAACAAAATAAACGATGCTCAAAGTTACAAAGTACAACCATCTATGGTCAAAGTACAAGTCAAAGAAACAGTATGTATGTAGAAAAGATTCACCTCAAACTCAATCTCAAAACAAAAGTCAATGCAATTGACTTTGACTTTGACTCATCGACGATACCTATAACGTTTGAAGTTGAAATAAACATGCAAGATTCCACGTTCAAATGTGCATTTAAATCCCTTCTTGTGTGAATACTCCCATTCTTTGTTCACTATGCGAAACGCCTGTCACAAACAATGATATAATAATATTAATAATTAAATAAAAGTAGTTGATGATGATGATGATGATGATGATGATGATGATGAAGAAACTTACGATATCTTCATAGGGTGGGCCCGCATGGAAACGAATGATGCATGTTTCAGCACTATCACCATCTTTTTCAATTGTATAAATCGGAGCTTTAATTTTATCCACAAGATCCGGATAAAATATATTAAATTTATATCCTTGAACAATCTTTGGAGGTGGATTATCATGATCATAATGAGTTTGATTGTATTTATTCCACTCGTAACCCGTGTGCACTCTGTTGAAATACTTGGGTTTTCTAGGCCTATATTTATCATGCCACCAGTACACCTGTAAAAAATCACACACATCCGTAAATTTAAATTCATTTTTTTTTTTTTTTAATTTCGAAACAAAATATAAATATAAATAATACCTGTGAATCAACATTAACTTCATCACTGTTTCCAAACACCTCATCACCATTATCCATAGCTCCCATTATTTTCACAGCTCTCATTTCCAAATTACTATCTTCAGATGAAGGAGGTGGCCTCGAAGCCATTGCTTCTTGAAATTTCCTCTGTTGTTCTTCAACAACTTCCACACGTTTCCTTTCCTGTTTTTTTACAAATTACAATAATTACACAAAGCGAAAGTGAAAGTGAAAGGGGAATGGGTGATGTAATTTACCAAAATAGCCCTGTCCTCTTCAGGATCAATCGCGTCTTCATTTTCATCACCATGTAACAGCTCCGGTGAGAAGGAGCCAGCTTCTTCTTCTTCTTCTTCTTTTTCTTCCTCCATTGTCTTGTCATGTGTTGGTTCAGGAGAGACTGGGGGTGAATTGACGGAAATACCCTTGGAATCATGATCGGATTCTTCCTCCACTTTGGGTGAAACGGTTTTGTCTCGTTCCATGTCCCCGTAAGATGGTTTCTCAAGATGTTCTAGATGCTTCCTCAGCATCTTATTGTGAATTTCCTTTAAGCAAGCCTGCAAAACACACACCAAATTACATGATGATGATGATGATGATGATGATGATGATGGTGGTGGTGATGATGGTGATGGTGATGATGATACCTTGGCCTTGTAGATGTGAAGGCGTTTAAGAACAGCTTCCCAATACTCGACAACTTTAGCAGTGCCTGAACGCATTTGTGACTCGATTTGTGATTGGAGAGCTTCGAGGGCAAGGAATGACTTTCCATCTAGAAGCTTCTTGACATCAGCTTCTATGCTTGAGTGCAAACCTCTTTCTTCTGCAAGTAGTTCAGCGGGTGGTTGTTCGCCTCTGACTCTAGCTCGATCCAATGTATCTTTTTTACGTGCCTCGCCTAATTCCCACTCACATACCACCAATAGTGCCTGTTTAATCATGATGGGTATTTTCGTCAGTTGACATAAATTTCGTTACCACCTTATCTCGTTCCTCATAATCAATATAAGGGTATTTTTGGTCGTTTAACATCAATTTCCTTACATCCTTATCTTGTTACTCATAATCAATATAAGGGTATTTTTGGTCATTTAACATAATTTTCCTTACCTTCTTATCTTGTTCATCAGAATCAATATAAGGGTATTTTTGGTCATTTAACATAAGTTTCCTTACCTCCTTATATTTTGTGTTTTTTTTGGATTAAGCCTCACATTTATTTTTTGTTTGAAAAAGACCTTGTATTTTTTTTTCCCAAAAAGCCCTCAACATTGTATTTTTTCCAAAAAAAACTTCAACCTTCTAAATGCTTCAAAATAAACCCTCAACTTTTTTAGTTTTTCTCGAAAAAACCCTCGCATTTTACAAGTTACAAGTTTTTTGGGAAAAAAAAAAAGGTTGATTTCATAAAACACCTTAAATTTTGGTTTTTTTTCAGATTAAACCTCAAAATTATTTTTTTCTTGAAAAAGACCTTGTATTTTTTCATTCTTTTCCAAAAAAGCCCTCACCTTTATATTATTTTCCGGAAAAAAAAAAAAAAACCTCGGCCTTCTAAATGCTTCCAAATAAACCATCAACTTTGTATTATTTTTTACAACTTTTTTTGGAAAAAAGATAACTAAAAGGGCCGGGATCGGAAAAAATGAAAAAATGCAAGGTCTTTTTCAGGAAAAAAAATAAAGTTAACACAAAATATAAGGTCTTTTATGAGATTAACCCTTTAATAATTGACATTAAAAAAAAAGGATTTTTCCTGGAAAAAAAATAGTACTTATGGATAATATATATATATATATATATATATATATATATATATATATATATATATATATATATATATATATATATATATAGAGAGAGAGAGAGAGAGAGAGAGAGATTACCTCCCAATATTGTATATGAGTTGGTGTTCCCCTGTCCAAATCAAGATGCATTTTTATGTCCTCATGAAGCTCTTCCATTTGCTTAACTGTCAAACCCTGTGTAAATCAAGAAAAATAAGAATAAGAAACTAACATACTAAAACGCTAATAATAGGGCTTAAAAGGGCATTTCAGTAATTTAAACAAGTGAGAGAGAAATGAAACGAAATGAAATTGAATTCCATGAGTTTACAGAAGGGAAAGTATCACTATTAGAATCTTGTAAACTCCAACAGAATTCAATTCCATTATTTGCAACCAAATGCCAGAATGGAATGGAAGTAAATTCCAATTCTGCCCCTTAGTAAATAGAGGTGGCAAAAATTGACACGACACGAAACCCGACACGAACCCGACACGAAATAAATGGGTTGGTAAGATATTTCAATCCGTTTAAATAAATGGGTTGACACGACACGACACGAAAATTAAACGGGTAAGGTTAGGGTTGAGAATTTCAACTCGAATATGACTCGAAAATGACCCGTTTATTTATATGCAAGTTTTTTTTAATTATTTAAATAAACTAGAAAGATACAAAACCAAAACCATAAGTAAAAGAAAACCTTCGAATTGAGTCGTTTTGTAATGTTGAAATGACTTAGCCGTCTAGATCAAGACTTAATTTCAGTTTTTCCATTCTCTCTCCAAACTACCCAGTCTCTTTCACCACTCTCACATCCTTGCGACCTTTTCATCCGCCTCCCCAACTTCCACTCTTTTAATTTTGTCATCTAAACATGCTATGACTTCATCTATTCTACCTCCAAACTATTAGTTTTTCCTTTCCGCCTACCCAACTCCTACTCTTTTAACATGCTCAATCTTTTAACCTCACATGACACGATATATTTCAAAGTATAGCCCTAACCCGAAACCCGACACGAACTCGACACGAAAATAAACGGGTTGACACGACACGACACGTTAATTAAATGGGTCGGGTTAGGGTCAAGCACTTTCAACCCGTTTAGTGTTTCGACACGACACGAACCCGACACGACACGACACGATTGCCACCTCTATTAGTAAAGGAAACAATCTTTACCTTAAAGACCATGTATGGCTCCTCTAATTCCACATCAAATTCATCAGAAGGATTAACATGCTTTGACAGTACATCAATTGGCTTGATACGCCCTTCACGCAACCTTATTCCAGATCGAACTTTGCTTTGATCAAAATGAAACTGTAATCATGACAAGGGCATTCACGTCATTTGCACACATAATAAAAATTTACAACTTTTGTCCCATTGACATCAGTCTCAGACTCTCAGTCTCAGTCCCAGTCCAATACATGTCAGATATAGTACAAGGTTGTTAGTCACAAGATGACAAGATATATTTAAAAAAATTATAAGATTTTTTTTAATGTGGAAAAAGAAAAGTAATAAAATATTCCACCTCTTCTTCTTTCTTTTCCCAATCTTGGAATTCAGCTCGAGCACGCTCTCTAGCTAGCAAGGCCTGTAGAAATAATGGGTTGCAAGTTATATAAGAAAATAATATAAGAAAATAAAAAGTAATAAGATTTCAAAATTAGATTAAGGTTGATAATTATGAGAAAGAAAGTAGAATGATAGTTATACATAATACATAATACATATCAAATTTTACCATTTCCTCTTCATGTTGTGCTTTTTCAATGGCCCTTTCCTCCCTTCTCTTTTTAACTTTTTCAATTTCGGCCTGTGAATTATGTAAAGATATGAATAGATAGAAAGTAAAATACAAAAGAATGAAGAATCACATTGTAAACAGAAATCATAAGAGAAAAAAAAATGAAAATAATTGGTTTGGAAGTTACATACCATTCTTTCTTTCTGTTTCTTCTTTTCGGCCTTAACAGAGAACATGTCAAGAGGAGCTCCTTGAATAACATCTCGCTCAATCTTCTTTCTCCACACAAACCTGAAATTTTGTATCATGTTTTTCCTCAAATCAAAGAAGAAATCATATGGGCTTATGTGATTAGCTGAATGTGCCTAAAAGGCAACATAAAAGAGACCAAAGGACTAGAAACTTACTTCTCATTGAGGTTGGAATCACCAAATGGATTGGAGTCATTGGCATAACCATAAACATTCTGAGCTCTCAGCTTCTTTGCTACTTTCGTTGCCTAAAGAATCATAAGTAAAACAATCAAATCACCAAACAAGGTACAAGTCACATTTAGTCAAAGAAATTTAACTTGTGTAAGAACTGGAACCTTTTTCTGAGCTTTCTTGGTTAGATACTCAGCGATCTCATCTTCACCAATCTTCTTCGAAGACCCTGTCCCCTTCTTTTTCTTCTTACTCCTGTGGTCATCGGAATCGGAATCAGAATCTGAATCCCGACGCCGGTTGTGCTTACTACTGCGGCTTCGTTCTCTACTTCTCCTAGAAGAGCGTCGTCGGGGAGAAGAATCATGGCTGTCGGAGTCATCCGAGATGGAGGGGGAATTATCATCACGGGTTTGTCTTCTTTTAGAGTCTTCTCTTTTAATCATCCTCCTACTGTCCATTATTAATTTGCCCTAGGCGAAACCTTCAAAATTCCTGGAGGAAATTCGAATCTTAAATAAAGGGTTTTAGGGTTTCTAGGTTATCGCACGGCGTGCAAAGTGGTGATGTTTAATTTAATTGTCCAAGTTCCGCAAGTTCAACAATTTTACCACGATCGCTTGAACATGGACATACATCTAAATTGCAGATAAAAACCAGTGCAGTATCTTACCTCGCTCCGAAACAGAAGTTGATCCAGATACGCAGCAGTTCGGCTTCGAATATAAAGTTAGCACGTAGAAAAAAACTAGGGTTTTGTATGGTGGGAAAGCTGGGGATACTTCGGGGAGTGAGAATGAGAGGGTAATTTAATGGAGAGAGTAAGGTGGTGATTTCGTTGTTTTGATTGGGGCTCCTCGCCAATGAAGTATTCGTGGGATGGGGTTTATTGAAATGGATATGCGGAGAAGGGAGGCTGGGAGAGTTTAGTGAAATCGGGAGGGTTTATTGAACGGCGACGCCGTCACGCCGACGACAGGGACGAATGATAAGTCGTTAGGAGGGAGCAGGGGCGGGGATCGTCGTCGTCTAGAAGGCAGTGATGAAAAAAGAAACGTAAAAAATATATAAGGGATGGGCAATTTGTGAATGAATCGGTTGTTCGTTGTTTCGTTGGGATCAACTTTCACACTATCAAATTACCTTCATAAAAAAAATTATATTATATATGAGACGATTTAGTACGAGACATAGATAGTGTTTGGAATCAGATTAGGAATATGATATTATATTATGTTTTTTTTGTTAACCATCAAATTTTAATTATGTATAAATATATTAATAAACATGTAACTTATACGAACAATAACTCTGGTATTTATTTTATGGTTTTGGCTTTTGGTTGGGTTGGAGCCGATCTTAGGTGGGTTTCTCGTATGTCTGATATTTGGTCTTCCTCGATTGCTTTTGCAAATGTAAAGATACTGTCATTTGCCTCCAATCCAACTCTTCCACCCGGTTCTCACCGCCTTTGTTCTTAAATTGTCTTTTGTCTCTATTCATTACATGTGTAACTCGTTAAGAGATTGGTCGGTTCTTGCAGTTGTTGATAGTGATAATGTTGCTTTTTTGTTCGTATCTAATATGAACGCTCTTAGGATTAACGTAAACAATGATGGTAGTGGTTATTCATTAGAGGTTGTGACATGGTCGGTGGTTGGCTTTAGGGGTTTCGACGGAGAAATATGGAAGACGTAGATGGGGAGTTGTTGATAATGAGTGGTCGGGGATGGTGGTGATAAGGTGCCAAACGGGTTTACAACATCAGAAGGGAGAGGGGGGGGGGGGTGTCGACGGAATTTGGGGAAGCCTTCCCGTATTGAAAAACCACCAGAGCAAAGTTATTTTCATTTTCCTTTTTGAATATGTATCCAAGGTTATAACTAAATTGATCAAAGTAAATACTAAATTGATATAACTTTATGGAATAATAGTAAATTCCTTTTTAGGTTGCCCTTAATAACTAGAAATAACTAGAAATTACTTAAGGGGAAGAGATAAAATGATTTGTTAATTTATTATATGATTAATAATTAACTAGAAATAGTTGAAGTTAATTAATTATTAATCAGAATTAATCTATAATTAATTTAGGATTAATTGGAATTAATTAAAGGCGAAAGACATTAATTGTAATTATTCAATAAAGGAGCAAAGGAAGACAATTCTATAATCTACCATGTTATGGACGGTTTTAAGGAAGTCTTGTAGGGTTTCTAGAAACCTGCTTGTAGGTGAAAGGGATAGAAATTTAAATATATTAAATCTATTATGTAATTATTTAAATCAAGGTTTATCTTTGTGATTTATCAACTATAAATAGGACTCATTGGCTCCTATGTTTCATGGCTTTTACCTATGATAAGGTAAACAACAAAATTCTCTTAATCTCCTGATAGGTGCATTTTATGCACCTATTTTGTATGTTTAATTTAGTCATTTCATAGCATTCTACTTCATAGTTATTGCATTTAGTTAATTATTTGGGCAACTGCATATTTCTTTAAGAATGTCTGGTACTTCACTATTTTTTGATATATTTTGTAGACATTTTGGAGCATGGAACTTGGATGCTTGGAGCTTTGGAGCATGAAAAGATGTATCAGTCATGCCATGGAAGAGAACATGAAGGCATAACCCTAGTCTGTAACATCCTAAATTTCAAGATCAAAAATTTCGTTTTATTTAAGTTATTACATAAAACCATCAGTATAAAACAGTCATAATAATATCTCATGTTAAACCAGTGTATCAATAATTAACCATGTTATCATAAAATAATATCAGAGTGTAATCCCAAAGATCTCATGTGTGAAAAACATGGTGTAATGCATTGTGATCGAGCCGGCTCCTTTCCTTTGAAAATGAAGTACCTGAAACCATAAACAAAACATGTAAGCACGAAGCTTAGTGAGTTTCCCAAAGCATATCATACACACAATCCATATATCACATATCATGTGAGCTATAAAAGCTACATATAACACATAAGCCATGCATACAAAAACCTGTAAGAATGTCATGGGCTACCCCACATGCTCTTTACCTAGGACTATTATGGGGTACCCCATATGGTCTTACATCCAATGTCATGGGCCACCCCACATGGTCTTTACCTAGGACTGCCATGGGCTACCCCACATGGTATTACATTCAATGCCACGGGCTCCCCCCCCCCCCCTTCCCCGAAGGTCTTCCATGCAAGTATCACAAAGACAACTAGCATAACACATATCATATAATCACTAGCATACCACTTGGCATAAAAGCTAACTATCATACCACATATTTCTACTACAGCTAGTGTACCACATAACATAAAATGGGTCGGGCTTGGTGCCTTAGACCCATTGGTATGGTGAGAAGACTCACCTCACACTGTTGAAGTCTCGCCGAT